CGACTCACTGTATTCAAAAAAGGGGAGAGGTCCCGGCGGATGGCCTCCACTTTAGATTTAAAAAATGCTGCAAATTGGTCCGGTGTAAGACTAGGGGGAGGCCTATCACCCGGGCCAATTCCGGATAGGTCGCACACTATACGGAATAATTCCGCCTGCTTATTGGATGCCTCGCTTATCCGGTTCGCGAGGTATGTTCGACTAGCAGCCTTTACCTTGGCCTGGTAAAGGTTAGTAGCGACCTTAACAGCTATACGATTGAAAACCGTCGGGTCCTTTCTCCATTTGCGCTCTAGCCGTCTCCTAACCCGCTTCGATCCCTAATGGATCAATCCTGGGGGTACTATTTAGCTAGTATTAGTTAGATGTTGGGAACTCCTGCTGCAGAACACTAAGCTTTAACCTAGCTTTTTGGAGTTAGATAATAGTAACACTGGATACCCAGTGGATAGAGTGATGGACTAGGATTCTGGAGAACAGGCTTTGAATCCCCAATCAGCCATGAAAATCCACAGGGGTCATGGAACTGGTAAAAGCACTCCTTAAATACCTCACTTACCTTGAAAGCCCCTTTTAGGGTCACTATAAGTTGGTTGCAACTTGACATAACAACATAAAAACAATTTTATGTAAGCTGTGAAGAGGATATGCTTTCTTTTTTTTTCCATCCAGGTAACCTTTGAGGAAGTGGCTGTGCATTTCACCGAGGAGGAGTGGTTGCTGCTGGATCCTGACCAGAGAGCTCTGCATAAGGAAGTCATGGAAGAGAATCGTGGGCTCTTGGCTTCACTTGGTAAGATCCCTCTTTCTCTCAATGGTGATACCATTTCTGTACAAATGCAGTGGTAAATGCAATAACAGCCAAACCCTGATATGGGATTAGTTTATTTTACTTATAGTCATTATAGACCCCCCCACATGCACACTTGCCAATAAACAAGGTCCTTAGAAAAGCACGTATGGTAGATTAGAAATTCAAAATGCAAATAATGAACTAATGACTAAAGGTGACACATAAGAAATACCAGATCAAATCAATAGTGACAAATAAAAGCACTGCTTATAGCAGGTGAAACTAAAATTAAGCAAAAGTAAGGTAATATATATTCATTTGATTGATTGATTGATTGATTGATTGACTGATTGACTGACTGACTGACTGACTGACTGACTGACTGACTGACTGATTGCACTTCTATGCGGCCCATCTAGACATTGTCTACTCTGGGCAGCTCACAACAGACAAGATAAAACAGTTAATATACAGTATAATAACAGTGTTACAGCAATATACAATGATAACAATAGTTCAAGATGGGAAGGAAAATAAATTAAGTAGTGCCTGGAGGGAAGGCCTGTCTGAATAACCAGGTCTTAAGTTGGTTTTTAAAAATGCCCAGTGAGGCAACCAAACGGATCTCGGACGGGAGTTTGTTCCAAAGAGAAAGAGCCACTGCTGAGAAGGCCCGGTGCCTTGTTTTTTCTTTCAATGCACCTAGCATGCATCAAGATAAACAGGTACTCAGTGTCACTTTTTCCGTCAAGTATTTCTCACCCCTCCAGCATCTTGCTATAGTCTTTTCAATCCAGTTTTTACTGTACTTGTTCTCTTCCCCCTTAGATGACTGGAAGGAAAGAAGGATATGTTCCAAGTGTGGGAAGTGTTTTACGCCCAAACTGGGCCTTTCCAGGCAGCAAAGAACTCACACAGAAGGAGAACATCATGCCAGAAACAACTCGTACAGGGGCAACGTCTGTTGGAAATGTTTTGCCCCAAAGAGGATGCTCACACTTCACAGGGGGGATCACCGTGGAAAGAGAAACTTCCGAGGTGAACGGATGGGGAAACCTGTTCCTTTCAAGGCATACCCTTTGCGCCACCAAAGAGTCTGCAGCAGAGAGAACCTACACAAATGCCAGGAGTGTGGGAAATGTTTCGCTCTGAAGTCACACCTTGTGAAACATCGAAGCGTCCATACAGCTGAGAAATCCACCCAATACCAGGAGTATGAGAAGTGTTTCCCCCAGAATTCAGACGTGTTGACTCACCGGAAAGACAGTGCAGAAGAGAAACCATACAAACGCCAGATGTGGGAGAAATGCTTTGCTCTTAATTCACAATCTGTGGACCATCAGAGAGTACACATAGAAAAGAAGCCCAGTAAATGCCAGGAGTACGATAAGTGTGTTTCCCGGAAAACAAGCCTACTGACTGAACAGAGAACACCAGAGGAGAAACCCTACAAATGCCAGGAATGTGAGAAGTGTTTTGCTTATAACTCCCAGCTTGTGGACCATAACAGAACCCACAAAGGAGAAAAAAATAACAAGTTCCAGGAATATGAGGGTTTTCCTCAGAATTCAGATCTACCGATTCACCAGAACCTCCACACAGGTGAGAAACCCTATAGATGCCGTGAGTGTGAGAAGTGTTTTGCTTGTAATTCACAACTTGTGGATCATGAGAGAGTCCACACGGGAGAGAAAGAATACAAATGTCAAGACTGTGGGGAATGTTTTGCTCATGAATCAGACTTTATAAGGCATCAGGCAGTCCACACAGGACAGGAACTAGACAGACGTCAGGAGTATGAGAAATATTTTCCTCAGAATTCAAGTTTGCTGACTCACCAGAGAATCCACACAGGAGAGAAAGTATACAAATCCCAAGTGTATGAGGAATGCTTTACCCTGAATTCAGACTTACTAACTCACCAGAGAGTACACACAAGTGAGAAACCATATAGCTGCCATGAGTATGACAAGTATTTTGCTTCACAGCTTCTGGACCCTCAATTTACTCCCACAGGAGGGAAACCATACAGAAGTCAGGAATATGAGAAATGCTTTCTTCAGAATTCAGATGGATTGACTTATCAGAGAGTCCATGAAGAAGAGAAACCATACAAATACCAGGAGTATGAGAAATATTTCCCACAGAATACAGATTTACTTTCTCACCAGAGAATTTGCATAGGAGAGAAACCATACAAGTGGCAGGTATATGAGGGATTTTTCCAACAGAATTCAGACCTGTTGGCTCTTCATAGAATCCACACAGGAGAGAAAACATATGAATGCCGTGAGTATCCGGAATTTCTGAATCAGGGTTCAGACCTACTGACTCACCGAACAGTCCACGTAGGTGAGAAACCTTACAAGTGGCAAGAATATGAGGATTTTTTAAATCAGAATTCTGACCTGTTGACTCACCAGAGAGTTCGTGTAGGAGAGAAACCACATAAATGGCAGGAGTATGAGGAATGTTTCCCCCGGAGTTCAGGTCTACTTGTTCAGCAGAGAGTCTACACAGGTGAGAAACTATATGAATGTCATGAGTTTGAGGGCCATTTTCCCAAGAATTCAGAGCTACTGGCTCACCAGAGAATCCACACAGGAGAGAAACCATACAGATGTGAGGTGTGTGAAAAATGTTTTGCTTATAGTTCACAGCTTATGGACCATCAGAGAGTCCACACTAGAAAGAACCAGTACGATTGCCAGCAATATGAAGCTTGTTTTTCCCAGCACTCAGACTCACTGAATCACCAGAGTGTCCGTATAGGAGATAAACCATATATGTGTCAAGAGTGTGGGAAAAGCTTTGCTTGCAATTCGGCACTTTCACGGCACCACAGGGTTCACACTGGAGAGAAACCATACAAGTGCCAGGACTGTGGGAAATGTTTTGCTCACAATTCACACCTTGTGACTCATCAGAGATTCCACACCGGAGAGAAGCCATACAAATGCCAGGAGTGTGGGAAATGTTTTGCTCGCAGTTCAGACCTTGTAACTCATCAGAGATTCCATACGGGGGAGAAACCGTACAAATGCAAAGAGTGTGGAAAAAGCTTTGCTCGCAGTTCACATCTTGTAACTCATCAGAGATTCCATACAGGTGAAAAACCCTACAAATGCCAGGTGTGTGGAAAATGTTTTGCTTGTAGTTCATCCCTTTTGAAGCATGAGAGAGTCCACACAGGAGAGAAACCATACAAATGCTTGGAATGTGGGAAGGGGTTTGCTCACAATTCACATCTTGTGACTCATCAGAGAATTCACACAGGAGAGAAGCCATACCAATGCCTGGAATGTGGGAAATATTTTGCTCGCAGTTCCTACCTTGTAATTCATCAGAGAGTCCACACGGGAGAGAAACCGTACCAGTGCCAGGAGTGTGGGAAATGTTTTGCTCGCAATTCACATCTCGTGGCTCATCAGAGTTTCCATACACGGGAGAGAAACCATACAAATGCCAGGGTTGTGGGAAATGTTTTGCTTGTAGTTCAGCTCTTTTGAGGCATGAAAGAGTCCACACAGGAGAGAAACCGTTCAAATGCCAGGAGTGTGGGAAATGCTTTGCTCACAATTCACACCTTGCCAATCATCAGAGAGGCCATATTGCACAGAAACCATATAAATGCTAGTACTGTAGTTTTTCAATCACTTTGGTCACAAATCACACCTTGCCGACTCATCAGAGTCAAGCATATGAAAAATATTTTCCTTAGAATTCACAGCTTCTTAATTATCTAATGGGACATACGAGAGTAGTTTTAGTAATCTTACAACTGAAGAGCAGTGATAAACAAGTAATACAGTGTAAAAATATACAACAAGATACAAAGGATATATCATGCAATACAGTAATATGAATAAATGCATGAATTGCTAGTAACCAGGAATAGAATCCACTCTGCCTGCAAAAAATGTAGGGGGTCATAGCAGACACCCAACATTTCTCCATGTTATTGCTAATACTAGGTTCTAAACAGAAAGGAGAATTTGTCTGATCTGTCTGTGGATTTCTGGAGACTAGACAGAAGAAAGTGGTGACAAAGGTACAGTAGGTGAAATGATTTAAGAGGGACATAGGTGTTCTTGATCTCTGTATCCCAGGGTATCTCCCCCCAAGGAGAATGAAAGGTAAAACATGATGTCCCATCAAGTCACCTCTGACTTATGGCAACCCTATGAATGAGTGCTTTCCAAAATGTCCTGTCCTCAACTGCCCTGCTTAGCTCTTGTAAACTCAAGCCTGTGGCTTCCTATAAGGAATTATCCCTCTTCATCCTTTCCTGCTGCCTTCCACCTTTCCCAGCATTATTGTCTCTTCCAGAGAATCCTGCCTTCTGATGATGTGCCCAAAGCAAGACAACTTCAGCTTTAACATTTTTACCTCCTCATAGAGTTCAGGCTTAATTTGATCTAGGACCCACTTGTTTGTGGTTTCTGGCAGTCAAGGATATCTGCATCGCTCTCCTCCAGCGCTATATTTCAGATGAACCATTTTTTTCCTCTCGGCTTTCTTTACTTTAAAATCATGCTAGATTTTAATAAATTGATAGCTGAGATATCTTTGGATTTTTATATATGGGCACCTTTAAATATGTTTCTTGGGGCAAAATTAACTCCATATGTGTCATGTACATACCTTTGTACATGTTCTTCATTCAGTTCCTCCTTATATACTTTGAAGATATTTCCATAAACTCATACTCTGAATTTTGGAAATTTCCAAAAGTTCCATGGCAGCCTGAAATTATCTGAAGAGTACAGAGCTTGGATTTAATGAAGGTGAATTTGGGGTTTCCTGATCTCAGCTTATATCCTCAGACCTATTTGCTAACCCATATCAATTTTTTTTTACTTGTTGTGCTTTGGTTAAGCATTTATTTCGACCCATACTCTTTCCAAACAGAATTTAATTGATTCAATGCCCAAAAGAATTTCTTCAGTTAAAGAGCTATATCATATACAGTGGTGCCTCATAAGACGATTGTATTTTGTTCTGCAAGAATCAGTCTTGTGATTCCTATGGGAACTTTGTATTTTGTTCTGCAAGAATCAGTCTTGCGATTCCTATGGGAACCTCGCAAGATGAATGAAAATTATTCGTCTTGTGAGGCATCGGTCTCGAAAAAAAAGTCTTGGGAAGCATGGTCATGGAAGAAACCATCTTGCGAAGCACCATAGCGATCGCAGAAACCAATCGTCTTGCGGGTTTTTTGTCCTGCGAGGCAATCATCTTGCGAGGTACCACTGTAATGTCATAACCATTTCAATCTGAGCCATTCTCACATGCTAAATTAATATTCTGCTGGCTGGCTAGATCGCTGAGTGGTTGAGGTCTCTGGCTGCGGAGTCTGAGGTTGGAAGTTTGATTCCCTACTGTGCCTCCTGAGAGAAGAGCCAGTCTGTGTGGCCTTGGGCAAGCTGCACAGTTCCAGAAATACTCCTAGAAGAACGGAATGGGAAACTATTTTGACGTACTCTCTACCTAAGAAGCCCTGAAAAAAAGATTACCGTAAGTCAGAATTAACTTGACGGCACATGATGAGGATGATGAAGTTAATATTCTCTGGCCACCTAAGAACTGGGGGAGACAGCCTTCTTTATGGAAGGTCTGGATTAATAGGATGATTTTTACTTTGGACCAACCAATTTGTTACGACAATGAGTTTCTGTTGCATGGTAGACTGAGGGCGAGGTATGGTTGGCCAACAGCAGCTCCACAGCAGCATTTACCATTGTGGCATTTTCTGGTATCTAAATATGCAGTACCAAATGCTTTGGGGAGTCCCTTGCATTTGGAAACTCTCGTAGTCGTATTAAAACAAATGTTTACAGATGTCTGCTGTCAGTTACTTAACAACAGAAGAAGGAAATGATAAATCCCTTCTGAGTACTCCCTAGAAAACCTTGAAAATGGTTGCCATAATTCAGAATTGAACCGACAACCTGCAGGTATTATTTATTTGCAAATACCATATATACGGTTTCACAAATGAATGGAGGAAGAAATTAGATCACCCTCTCTTGCCTAGTCAATGGAAGGTGGCCTTACCTTCCCAATCTGCTGTATTCAAGGATCTTAAACTGCAATATATTTATTTAAAGAAAATCGTATTTAGGATATTGTGGACCGCACCAGGACTTCTTAAAGCAAAGATCTGAATATATAATCCCTATTGTAGGTGCTGCAACTCCTCTGATGAATCTGTTAAACACGTACTCTCCAGTCACATCCAGTCATAAGTTATTTGTGCAAAGAAAGTTGTGTCTCATAGTGATTTTAATGGGTTCATTTCCTGCCTTTTATTGACACTGATTTGCTTTAAAATTACCTGCCAGTTTCCTGGAGGTTAAACACTAGCCAATGAATGTGGAATTCTTCCATGCCTTGAGTGTGGCTAAGAGACTTGTACAGTACTATATTGAAAAAATTAATGCCTACCTCCTGTCATTCAGCGGACTGAGGATCCTGCAACTCTTATGAATATACTGTATGAACTTACAGCATACAGGCAATGACTATGCAGCATCGGCATATTTTTAGACATTTGGAACTCTTTTCTTAAAATTTACATAAAGATCATTTTCATATTGTCCTTGTACCTTATATTTCCATCATATGTCCTTTTCTGCTTCTTTCTGTTCTTCTGTTTTTCACATAATAAATTTTTTTAAGAACAATATTGCAGAATCAAGTTTTTGGGTGGGAAATTATTTTTCTAAAAATAAGGTAAAGCCAGTACTAAAAATCTTACTTTAAGAGCAGCGTCAAGGATGTCTTCATGTGGTTTGAGCTCCACAAAGCTAGGAAACTGGAAACTAAGCTTGGTGGCTTCAGAAATGATCAGGAATGATGTGGTACCATGTGCAACGTCCAATGCACACATGTACTGCCGTCTCTTTGAGGCCCAACTCCATAAAGGGAAGTGCCTTGGACCATAAAAGATCTCTGATCCTGGCCTGGTCCTGCAGTGGAGACCCATAGTTTCTGGCCTTTGTCCTGCCTAGACAACTCCTCTCGCCAGTGGGCCCATGACTTGCACTGCCATTCTCTGCCGTCGGTCTCCTGGGGTGGTTCCTCATCATGTCTAATGGTAGGGCGTGTTCAGCTGTATGCTCTAGGGCAGGGGTCTCCAACCTTGGGTCCCCAGATGTTCTTGGACTACAACTCCCAAAAGCCTTCACCACTAGCGGTGCTGGCCAGGATTATCTGGAAGTTGTAGTCCAAGAACACCTGACGACCCAAGTTGCTGCTCCGTTTTGTCCCCCTCTTACTTCTGAAAGAGTAGTCCAAGAACATCTGAGGACCCAAGATGCTGCTCCGCTTTGTCCCTCTCTTCCTTCGGAAAGACTGCAGGATTTACCCAGCTGGATCCACATCCATAAACTGCATCTTCCCTGAGGCTGGAGCCACAGAGACAAGAGCAAAAGTTCTGCTGTCCTAGGAGAGATTTTTAGAATAGCTCATCTCACTTTTCTAGGGGCTCTGCTAGGTAAATCAGGATTTCTGCTGGGGGGTGGGGAGGAAATCAGGAGCCACCATCTCCGCTGATGTGGCTGCTATGGCCACGGCTGCCACCACCACATCACCCACCTGCTTCTTGTTGCTGGCGTCCTGCATGCCTTGAGTAAAAGGTAGAGGTTCCCCTTGACATTTTAGTCAGTCGTGTTCGACTCTAGGGGGCGGTGCTCATCCCCGTTTCCAAGCCGTAGAGCCAGCGTTTTGTCCGAAGACAATCTTCCGTGGTCACATGGCCAGTGCAACCTAGACACGGAACACCGTTACCTTCCCACCGAGGTGGTCCCTATTTATCTACTTGCATTTACATGCTTTCGAACTGCTAGGTTGGGAAGGAGCTGGAACAAAGCGTCAGGAGCTCACTCCGTCGCGTGGATTCGATTTTACGACTGCTGGTCTTCTGACCCTGCAGCACACAAAGGCTTCTGCGGTTTAGCCCACAGCGCCACCACGTCCCACGGCATGCCTCGAGTAGCTGTGCGCTTTTTGCTCACTGTGGTTTCATTCCAGTGTGCTTGCCTTTCCCTCTGTCTCCCTCTCTGTCCTTACCAATCGGGAGGAAACCACCAGGCAACGCAAAGTTGAGTGCTTAGATTTCAAGAGAGGAAGAGGTGGAACGGGGAAGATGATTTGGATCCCTGCCTTGAGCAGGGAGTTGGACTCGATGGCCTGATAGGCCCCTTCCATCTCCATTATTTTATGATCCTGCACCCTCCCTTCCTCCCTGTAGATGGGGTATGCACTGTAATCATCATTTCTCCCCCCCACACCCTTTTGGATGCAGGCAGATGGGTTAGTGCTTTCCATGTTTTCTTTACAAACAAATGATTTGGGCCAGGAAGGTAAACGTGAAATTCTACCCCAGAACAAACTGGTCAAAAAGGGGCAGAAACTCAGAAAATAAAATTATTTACATATTGAAATAAGAAAAAAAAAATTTGGAGGGGGTGTGTGTCTGTTAAGGTAAGTCCTTTAATATTAATAATCGTGAGCTGTCAAGTCAATTCTGACCTACGGTAATCCTTTTCAGGGTTTTCCAAGTACTCAGAAGTGGTTTATCCTTTCCTTTTTCTGGGGGTATTTCTGAGACTGTGCAGCTGGCCCAAGGCCACCCAGGTTGCCTCGACTTTCAGGAGGCGCATCAAACTCTCAACCTCTGGTTCCAAAGCCAGAGACCGAACTCGCCAAGCTATCCAGCCACAGGGAGCTTCAAAGTCCAACCTGGAAGAGTCATTCAAGAGTCTTCACGTTTGCACAGAGATTCAGAGTCAAAGACAAGCAGTTGTAAAAGCTGAAAACTCCAAAATGAAATACGAAGGTGGTCCTTCCTGGCAGATTCTGCTTTTTTAGCAGCTTTCTCCTTTCGCCACCATCACTGACCAAACACACAGACAGAAGCTATAAGGCTGCTCAACCATGGACTCAGGGAGCAGGTTGGATGGATTTAAGGATTTTCATTAATGAGCCATTAATCTTTTTTTGTTCATGGCAGGAGCCACCCAGTGGCGCTTCTGGGGGTTGGAAGGATCAGCCTGCAGGATGGCATTGATGCTCAGGGCATGCCCGAGTGTGCTCCCAGTCCTCACAAGCTTTGGGGGCGGGCTCCTTCCATGTCCCTTGGACTGTTCAGGACAGGACCTTTTGGATCACCATGAGCTTGACAGTACAGATCACCTTGGGTCCCCAGAGGTTCTTGGACTACCACTCCCAGAAATCCAAGCCAGCAGAGCTAGTAGTGAAGGCTTCTGGGAGTGGTAGTCCAAGAAGCTCTGGAGACCCAAGGTTGGGAAACACTGCTTTTATTGTTGTTTAGTCCCATGGACCAGAGCACACCAGGCCCTCCTATCTTCCACCGCCTCCCGGAGTTGTGTCAGGTTCATGTTGGTTGCTTCGATGACACCGTCCAACCATCTCATCCTCGGTCGTCCCCTTCTCCTCTTGCCTTCACACTTTCCCAACATCAAAGTCTTTTCCAAGGAGTCTTCTCATGAGATGGCCAAAGTACTGGAGCCTCAGCTTCAGGATCTGTCCTTCCAGTGAGCACGCAGGGTTGATTTCCTTTAGAATTGATAGGTTTGTTCTCCTTGCAGTCCAGGGGGCTCTCAAGAATCTCCTCCAGCACCACAATTCAAAACCATCAATTCTTCAAAGAGCTTTCTTTGTGGTCCAGCTCTCACTTCCATACATTGCCACTAAAAAAACCATAGCATCAGCTTTCTTCATGGTCCAGCTCTCGCTTGCATACATCACTACTGGAATGATGTCTCTGCTTTTTAAGATGCTGTCTAGGTTTGTCATCGCTTTCCTCCCAAGAAGCTGCTGTCTCCATCTGCAGTGATCATGGAACCCAAGAAGGTAAAATCTGTCACTTCCATATCTTCCCCTTCTATTTCCCTGGAGGTGGCCATGATCTTCATTATTATTTTTTTTTAATGTTGAGCTTCAGACCATTTTTTTGCACTCTCCTCTTTCACC